GCGACAGCGACCTTTATACTGGAACGATTCGTCGTGATGAGACTGTGATGTCTCCTGAGGATCCTCGTGGTCGTTGCCTGGTCACTTGGGATGATGGTACTGAGCCAGAATGGCTGACCCTGGGAGAGGAACAGTGGGAGTTCTCTGATGAAACTAGTCCGCCGAAGTTGTCCCGATTGCCCAGAAGAAAGAAGTGTCGCACAGGTGTTGTGCGAGGGGGCGTGTAGAGGGATGATTGCATCCTAAAACGAAGTATTGTGTTTGTTTCTGTGCCAGTTGTCTCCTTGGCTATTGCTCCGTGTCGCAGTGCATATCTTAGCCTAGCGCCAAGTGAGCCTACTATTGATTATATTGATAGATAAGTTCTTCCTACAAGTCCTCTAGTTGTGGCGTTCCCTCAATGGGAGATAAGGAAGGCGTACCGACCCTCAACAGAGTAAAAGAATCTCGACTCCTGAGAATTAGTCTCGAATCACGAGTAAAAATCCCAACTCTGAGTATTTAATCTCGAATTGATGAAATACTCTGTCTCAGTGCCAAAAACCCTGAATCAGCCATTGAGTATAGATTTGAATCTTGAATCGTGATTAAGGATCAGGAATCGGATTCAGCGGCTGATTAAAATCAAGGATCAAGGATCTTGCTCATTATTACGTAATCTGACTCTGTCTCAAGTACTCATACTCAGAAATCTCGACTCTTTCTCCTGAGCTAAGAATCTGAATCAGTTCTCTCGAATCAAGGTGTGACTTGAATCATGAATCAGGATCAGAGCGTGAGTTGAATCATGGACTCAGATTCATGAATCAGGATCCGCATACGGCCCCAGCTTTGAATCAATCCACAGCCCCTTCACGTCATCGAGGCCTTTCCCCTATCCCTCGTCACCGGCGGTGACTCACCGCATAATCCGAGATACTCGCGAGATATCGTATCCGCCACTGCGTTAGTCACACGTAACGTGTGACACATTCCACGTGAATAGCCTTTGATGAGTGGGGTGGTTAAGGGTGACCGACTTAGTGTGAGTACCTGCATCAATTTATCCAGTGCAGCTGACTCAGCGTAAACCTGGCCTAGAGCCTTCACGGCCGCGGAATTGACGCCCATGAGAAGTAGCACTTGATCGTCCGGTCTGGATAGTGGACCCACGACAGCGGATAACAATTCCAGAAAACATATGTGACCTGGTTCCGGTCGCGTGAAGTTGTACGTCACCGAAACGTTTTCTCTCTTATAATTGGTGACAGTGAGTCTGGCTCCCATAGGGATAGTCCACATGCCAAATAGTCTTCGACAGGCTCCTCTACTGACACCCACTCATCGCTCACAGTTCATTGTACCACTGAGTGTCAAACAACCCTATCTATCATGATCTAAAAGATCATCCAGTGTATTACACGCTATTGCGAGTGTCACGTTGATGGCTGCGTTCCCGTAGAGCCTGGCCATGCGCGTCACGGCGAGCTAGATCGTTACGCTCATTTCATAGCTGACCGAAAACCTCCGAATATCGTAGGTTTCTTGCCTGCCTCTTGTATAAGCGTCGAGTTGACTAGAATTACTTATTCGGGTATCACAGTAATTTTATGACTCCGTTCACCATCTCGATCTTGAACCTCCTCCTCGTCACCCTGTTGATGCAGGGTGGGGCATATACCTTCCACATGGGTAACGTTCGTATGCAGATGAAAACGACACATTTTTGCAACTCTGACTTGAGGGACATCAAGGGGAACCCGATGGCATGTCACATCTCCAAGGCTATGGAGACTGAAGGGCTGGTCCTCCCTGGTATGGATGATAACAAGTCGTTCACCGTTCATCGAGACATCTTCATCGCCAAGGACGGTCAAGCGGTAGTTCAAGCAGCACCAAATCACCCGTACTTGTATCTCCTCATGAGTCAGAACGACACGCACTTCAGCACCTCCCAACTCTTCAATAAACGCTCGTTCCTTATAGAGCAGGGAACCAGGAAAAAGACTGATAAGCCCAATGGTCGCAAGCTCAGTGCCAATCGTACGCTCGAAGATGATGGTTGGGTCTATAAAGGTTTGGTAGATGAAGGTGGACAGAAGCTGAACAAATGGGTCAGAAGTGGAGTAGAAGGTGTTGATCCCAAATCGGGTATCAATTTCACCGCCCTCGCTCAGACTGGTGTGATCACTAACGCTTGGGTCCTCTATCTTGACAAGGATCAGAAGCAGATGGTGAAGCTCTTGGGTATCAACACCTTCGAGAATGATACGGTCTATCTCAAGTCCGAGGTCACTCATTGGGAAGAGCTGGACGAGGCATTAACTTTAGATGTTGCCATAAATGGTATTCACGCGGCGTATGATATCGTCCAGAACTACAATGTGGCAGCAGCGAAAGAGGAGGCGCCTCAGCTATTTCCTCAGTTCATCAAGACCCGTTTGGTTAGCGAAGAGGCTCGTCTATTCTTCAACGATGGGGAGAGCCACGATTGGAGGTCGAACAAGACTCTTCTTCGTGGAAATGGGTCGGTAGCACCGATCGATTATTTTCGCCTCCCCAATGGCACAGCTGCACATGCGTTCTTCCTGCACAAGTATCAACCTCTTCTACTTCTACAGGAGGATGATAAAAAGGAGTTCGAATTACCACCGGCTTGCAAGAAGGGTCACACCACGTCGGTCAGTGCATACTGCCTGTATGTTGGTTACGCCTCTAACGACACGCTACTGGCCCTCGACCTATATATGTCTTATACCGACCAAGCTATTGGAGAAAACAATGCTCACCTCAAGGTCACAGTCCATTTGAAGCAGCCGGGGACGGAGGTCGTATTCTTTGCTTTTGAAGCCACTGGATGCGCCTTGGTCTTCGCTGCTGATATTGGCATCGCAGGCTTGCGCATTCAAGTATGTCTTACGGGTGGAGGCGGCGGTGGGAATGGCACTTACGGAGGGAAAATAGCGATGTCGGTCGCGGTCATAATCAAAGTTGGTATCTTCCCTGCGTTGAGAGCCACACTTAATGGTCAAGTTGCGGTCAATGCTTCGCGCAATGGTGACATCAAAGCATATGGTTCGCTGGGCATTGAAGTCTCGGCGATAGTTGTCGGAGCCGGTATATCCCTGGACATCTTCGGTAACACTGTTGATCACAAATCGGACGTTTGGGAATTCAAATCCCACTTCAACCTCCACGTATGGGTAGATGTTCTCTTCTACAGCCATGACTGGCCATGGAGTTGGACTATTTGGGAAGCTGGTCCGGTTAAAGTGCGATAAGTGGGAAAG